TGTAGAAGTCATGCCTCGTCACATGCCAGAAGTTATAGGGCGTTAAATTGTTCGACTGTCCAGAAATGGTATGAAGCAAACGGACATTTCCAGAACAGTAGGGTACCCCCAGTGTACTGTATCCAGAATCCTGAAATGTCATCAGAATGCAGGAAACGTTGTTCCAGGAAAGTTTACTGGTAGACGCTGAAAACTTACTTCCCGAGATGATCGTGTTTTGATCAGGTTTTGATCACGTCAAGATCGAAAGAAGTCTTGCAACACCTTACGACAGAAATGGCATGAACACATTCATTCCAGGGTATCCAGAAGAACAGCGAATAGGAGACTGACCAAACAATGTTATCTTGTAAGAAGGAATATCTGCAAATCAGTATTAACCAGAATAACCGTCGTCACCGTGTGACTTGGACAAGACAGCATGCCAACTTACAGTTAGGACACTGGCGATATATATTTTCAAATGAGTCCTGTTTCCGGCTTGTTAAAGCTGACGGTAGGATTCAAGTTTGTCATTTTCCTGGAGAACAGATGAGGGAAGACTGTCTTTCCCACAGGAAACACACAGGAGGTGGTGCAGAATATGTTTGGGCAGCTATTCATCATGATGGAAAAACTGCTCCTCATATCCTCCAAGAAAATATCAATGGCGCCTCCTACAGGCATCACATAGAAACGATATTTCTGTCATATGTTAGTGCCAGGTTTGGTAATAACTTTGTGTTCCAGGATGACAATAAAACTGCCCACAGTACGCGTATTATACAGGATTATCGCGACTAGGAGGACGTTACAAGACTGCCATGGCTAGCAAAGTCTCTAGATTGTAACCCCCATTAAAAACTGTTGAGCATGACTGAGCCGGAAAATTGCTAATCACGACCCTAAACCAGTTACCGTAGCTGAGTTGGAGCGCCCTCTAGTGACAAGTTGGGATGAAATCATGGTGGATTACATCAATAACCTTTGCAGAGGTTTTTAGAGTAGGAGGAGGACCAACCAAGTACTGTATGTTTAATATGAACTGATATAAGGTTACAGACGCTATTTATAATAATTTGATGTTATATTTTGTCATTATGTGTTTTGGTAAGGTTTTGTTGTGATAGGTGAAATGTTGAATTACACATCTTTCTACAGGTGTCTGATAAAATTGTTGGATGTTCTAATAAATCGTTCATGGTGTCCATAGAGTCTGTCTCATTAAACGAGTTACATATGTAGATGCTTAATATAACATGCATTTCTCAGTTTGACAGAACTAAGTGCATTTATATTCCATTTTAATAATAATGACCTTATTTGTTACAAAATATGCAAACATTTTAGCCAAGACGTAGTAACAGCTTCACATTCGTTTTGATTCTGAAACTTAAGTCAAACAGTAAAATATTTCCTGTGTATAACATACTGAGTAGTACAAAAATCATTCTCCTTTCTGGAAGTACAATGTAGCTAAAGAACAACAACAAAAAAACAAACAAACAAACTTAAATTAGCATTATGAACCCTAAATTGTGGTAAATGTGGTTTGAGTAACATCCGGAAATTTTTCAAAATTACCAAAAAGTATGCAAAAACGTGAATGATGAAATGTCTGCAACTCTTTTCACTGGGGGGAGTTTTTCAAATCCCGGCTCTTCTTTGATAAAATTTTGTACATTTTCTGGCCACAAATTGCATAGTTGTTTTTTTTTCTGTTTTAAAACGTACAAACCGAATGTAAAACGATACGTAAACACCAGAAAACGATATTGTGCCTCCTATTACTTACAACTGCAGAGTGAACAGGTGATTCAAATGTAATAAATGCAGTCGATGTGAATGTGACCACCACTAGATAGATACGTAAACACCAGAAAACGATATTGTGCCTCCTATTACTTACAACTGCAGAGTGAACAGGTGATTCAAATGTAATAAATGCAGTCGATGTGAATGTGACCACCACTAGATAGATACCCACTGAAAGAAAGTTAAAAAGGAAAGTTTCTAATTTTGTTTTTTAAGATACAAATAAAACTGGAAATGAAAAGTAGAAAGCTTCCCCTACTGCTTCTTCTTCGAAAATAAAAGCTACTATTGTTTTGGATCTTGAAGATGGTAATTCTGATGTTAACGAAGCTCACGAAAGTGTTCCCTTTGTTGACACATTTTATAAAGGTAAACGTATGCACTTTGTTACTGATATTGTCAGATATTTCTGGTTATTGTTTGTGTTGACTTTGTTTGTTTGGAATTAAGTCCAACGCTAGAAAATGGGTTATCTGTGCTCTGCCCACCAGGGGTATCAAAACCGATTTCTAGCGTTGTAAGTCAACAGACATACCGCTGGAAGGGGGGGCTGTTTGTGTTGAAATACCCAAGTTTTTAGTTCAATTTTCTCGAAAATAGCAATCGACTTTCGTCAAAATAGGTAAACTTTCTCAACAAATTTGGAAGTTTCAGTTTTTGTGCCGATTTTGGAATCTTTAAACCAAAATCTTAAAAATACAACGATCACATGTGAAACACTATTACTACCAGATCTGATGATGTGAAAATTAACACTACATTTTTTTGGGATTTCGGCTTGGTTAAGTTGCCAATTCAGGATTAAAAAAAACAAATAAAAAAAACCATTACATACAGATAAAATACTGACCAGCACCGAAAGCACTTTAGTTCCAAAACAATAATGATGTACACAAAAGTGTGCTCCAATATGTTACGTGTCTTGTAAACATGAGGGTATGATGAAATACCGCACTTAGGTAATCATTTATTCAAAGTCGCGAGGGCGTTCACGCAACAATAGGACTCTTGATTCATACACGCATATGTGCACTGAAATAGTTAGATTCATACACGCACATGTGCACTGAAATAGTTATTTATACTTCAGGATGTCACAGATTGGCTTCTCTGCATAAAAGTTAAAGTCGAAGAACTTTATAACTTAATTTGTTTGTTTTTTCTTGTTGTTCTTGGCCATACTTTTCATTTTCAGGTCAAAAGTCGATTACTTTTACTGTGCTATTTTCCATTTTAGAAAACACATGTAGAACAATTAACGACGAGACTAGTCTTTGAATGTACATGTTATGTACGTTTCTCTACCTACTACGCAACTTGGTTTGTACTTCCACATTGATATCATCCGTTTCTGTGTTACAACTGGACCATCTGTTTCACCGAGATATTTATTTCTCCAAACCTGCAGGCCTGTATACGTTACAATGAACGCCAACAATAACAAAATATTGTGAAACAGACGTTAGTCCTTAAAAGTTTGACCCAAACCATCTGTTAGCACAGAAGTTATCCATTATTAAAATGTGACGTGTGCGCGCACGCAGGAGAAAACTAAATTACCTAATGCTAACTAGGTCTTCCTGTTCATGTTCGTTTGTTTTCTAAACATACACCAGCACTTATACAACTTCATTTTAGCAATCAATAATTCAACAAGTATTTGCATAAATGTCATTTCGTCTTTTTTGTAATATTTCTAATGAACATAAGTGAAAACAGTAAGTTGAATAGTAACACAAACTTTGATGTCGTCGTATTTCTGAATAATATTACTTAATATAAACTGACATTTCTCATATCTTTGTTCCGAGTTTAATGGCATGGTACCCTCAGTTAGGAGCACTAGGTTTAAGTAATGACCGTTTTTAACAAAATACTATTAAAATATAAAAAAAAATATCAAAACGAACATACAATGTTTAATAGAGCGTATTTAGTACGCAACTATTCAATGTTGTATGTTCGTTTTTTATATTATTACTATTTTACCTATGAAATAGAGCCGTTTATTTAAAATACAGTTAACTCAATGAAATTCCGTTTGATTTTGTGGGTTTTTTCATAATGACCTTAACCGTCCGTACGCTAATGTTAGACCCACTTATTAGGAATAACTGGAATTTATAACTGTTTAGGAATACAATGAATTAATGTTTCATGTAGTTGGTAATTTAACCTCTCTTTCAATCAGTACAACGAGAGGAGTTTGAAAATGTATCGTAACATATGTTTAATCAGTAAAGTATAACGCGTGTATATCCCGACTTCAATGTTATTTTTAGTCAATACTAACAAAGAAACAATGCAGGCTTACACCTCAGAATGTACTAAAATCTATAGAAATGCTGGAATGTCAGTGATTTCGCGGAATAACGATAAATCATTCATCTAAGTATTCACGTGGAGCCAAGACGACTGAGTCTCCTTCGTCCCTCACACTGGTGAATGCATACATTATTGTGAGTTATGAAGACCATACCAAGATTAGGCATTTAGTAGCTCATGCAGAGAATTGGTGTACGTGCGAGTCATAACTGAAAAGCTAGTATTATCATATTTAATGCTAAAAATTAATTTACATTTTCTATATAGCCATATTATGTAACCTGCAAAATCGTGCGTTTTTATGGAAAAGTGAAGCTGGCTATAAGTGTTTTAAATGTGTGTATATCTCAGGTTGCTCTGGATTTTAAGTACGAAAAAATATGGTCGACATCAGTATCTCAAGCTTTTATCTAAGAATGCTGCCACTTAAAGCAGATAAAACTCCTAAAATACATCGCTAATCTGCCAGGAAAATGGAGGCAATTTTTAACAGGATTAAAAAACTATCAATCATGAAGTACCCCTAAAATATACAACTATAAAACTACCTAAAAACGGCAAATACAAACCCGATTGGCTTTGTTGGATATTTGATTCACTTACAGCTTATAAACATCACCTATACGATAACAAAATTCATCAATATAGAATATTAACAACAATTTCCACTGGCTGTATAGCGATTCTTTCTTCATAAATGCATCGTTTGTGCTGCGATTAATTATGCCTACTGTTGTACTGAGAAAACAAGAGATTAAAAGTACATTTAAAAATACTGTTACCAGTATATAAAGCGAAAACGACGTGTTTTATTAGAAACTTATAATTGCTTAAAAGAAAAATATTTTCTTATTTAATTATTCCTTTTTTAAAAAACTTACTCCTTTAGGTAGGCAACAAGAACAAAAATATGAAGGGGTAGGTTTTGGGGGTGGCTCAACTCGGGGGTGACTATAGTTTTGTTTCTTTCGACGGCGGCGCATGCGGTTAGGCACCACGTACATATAATTGGAGAAGCGCCGGCGTGACCCACGCACAATGGACACCCAGTCGATCATGATGCTGTAGAAAGTCAATTCTCTGTTCCTACTAACGATTGTTTTGAGCGCGCGCACACACACACACAAGTATACTAGGAGATAGTTTTGTAATCACTGTAAGTTCACAGAGCTCGCCCGAAGTTACTGTGCTAAACATGTAACGCACAAGGCACAGTGAAAATCACTACAAGCATTACTTCTAAATATATACTGTCAGGCTTGTGTTATATCTACACTCTTGACTGTTACACAGCCAGTGATTTGGACACTAGAGTTTCATCAGACTTCGATAACAACCGTCTTATCTCGATTTACATTCCTATCAACCAACGGAACTAACACAACAACACAACTGCTGGAAGCAACAATAAGTGCACCACAAGCACAGGTGCGGACTGTCGGTTCGCCGATGCCGAGCTGATGCTGGCGCAGGTACAGGAGGATGTGCACGTGCAAGCTGACCGTCCTCCATGGAAAGCTCTGGGAAAGAGACTATGAAGGCGGCTGATGATGCAGGCGGAGCACAAGAGACTTCTTGGTATACACAGCGCAGTGACGGTAACAGGAAATCCGGGTGTAAATATATACAGACGATAGGGGAGCTTCTAGCAACCTGGCGTACACAACAATGTGTATACAATTCGTAAGAATACTAGCTCAGATAACAGATCAACCAATACAATGTAATATACATTTAACAAAATAATGAGGCACAAACTCAATACATTTTTTATTTCATTTGCAGCCATTTTGATATATTAATGTTGTGGAGGAGCGCTCTTATTGAAATAAAAACTATTTTGAGATCGTGCCTCATTTTATTTACTTGTTTAAGTGGACTGTAAAACAAATTATTATTATCATTATTATAAAATAAAAAGGTGTTTTAATTGGAAAGATAATTTTTTGTTAGATTCAGAAACACACAACAATTACATTATGAAATCTGGTTGAATGGACGGCAACTGCTTGTTGTAAAAGCAGAAGTACAGAGGACGACGTTTCGAATGTTTTCTGTCTTTCATCTTCAGACTTTCGAAACGTCGTCCTCTATACTTCTGTTTCTACGACAGGCAGTTGCCGTCCATTCAACCAAATTTCACCATGAATACTCTGCCTAAACAATCTATCACTGAACAATTACATTATTTTTCAATATATTCACTAAACCAGGGATTTCCAAAAACTAGAGGCGAAGACCCTTGGGGGGCGAAAGTGTGTTGGAAGGCTTTCAAATAGAAAATGATGTTACTATACTCAGTAATAGCTTTACTGAGTGTATGTCTCTCTCAAACAGCGGAATGTTCTGGGGGGGGGGAGATCTTTGGAAACCCCTGCACTATAATATATAAATATAATTCAATTATCAAGACTTATTTCACTTAAACATGTATTCACATTAAATGAAGAATGATACTCAAAATATATAATCCTACTTATATACAATGCATTATATATATTTATTTATCTACATAATTAAATAAACAGCTTCAATACTATTAATTACATTAATTGTTAATAGGCGATTAAAATCAGCACAATAAGACAATAATGAACATAATATAAAATAAGCATTAAGGAGATGTTAGTAAAGAATCCATTGTCAATCCTAGTTGTCACCTTAAAGTCATAACGGATAATGCCTGTGGTAATAGCTTCCAAATGTGTTGGGGATATCCTATCTACTAGACAAAATCCAAACGCTGATGTTAAACTAGCCAGCAAGCTTTTAAGGGTAACTGCCTTCTCACAACTAGCTGCAGACAGTGAAGGGCAGTAGGAGTTGAGACGTTGTGGGTGTAAGCACTCAACTCCATGCTCTTAATTGATTTTCCACAAACACACATCGCAATACACATAAGATGAGCAGATGGAAAATGTAAAACAAAAATTAATTGTACAATTATTTTTCAATCTCTTAAACTGCCTTTAGGGATGAGAGATGTAAAGTGTGTCCTTAAGATACAGTCCAGATTCTGTTATATTTCCTATTACCCAAAAAAATCAGAATCCAACACATATATTACAGGGTAGTCCAAAATTACTTTTCTTATTTTAAAATTTAATAATTAAATAACTAAAGAAATACAACCATGCAGTTTTCAACGTCTTATAGCGCAACTCAAACAGTTTTAATTGACATGTCAAAATACTTCTACGTGTGCACCATTAGTGGCTCTCAGCACGTTTATCCGATGTTCGATTTCAGTCCACGTTCGCTGCAACATGCCCACAGTTACAGTGGCGATGGCATCTATTATCCTGGTCTTTAGGTTTGTGATGTTTGTTATAGGTGTGCGATACACGATGTTTTTAACATAAGAAAGAAGTCCAGTGAAGTATGTCTGGCGGACACGAAGGCCAAGGAATGGCCCACTCCGACCAATCCATCGCATTGAGCCTTTTCCTGCACGGTTGCCATTTTTCGGAGCAACACTACTCACTAGAGCGAAAAAAAAAAAACAGCAACAACATGGCAATAAAAACTGTTTAAGTTGGGCTATAAGATGTTGAAAACTGCATAGTTGTATTTCTTTGGTTATATAGCTATTAAAATTTAAAATAGGAAATAATGTTGGACCATCCTGTACTAAGATGTAGCTATATTCAAGCAATAAAATATAGACACAGAGAAAACGGCGCACTACTTTCATCGCTCTCTTTACACAGAAACTAAAGATAAGTGCGACAAAAACAGTAATTAGATAGATAAATAATTTCATAGACCATTTAGGAACTCAGGTGCACACATATATATATACTTCATTAAATGCAAAATAAATTAAATGGTTTTATATCGTGGATTAAACTAGTGCTACAAGCTAAAATAATTTTTATTCCCTTTGGAATAAGTCTTAGTTTAATGGTAATGAGATATATATAATTGCAATGACGTGTTTGTAAAAACATTGTCGTTGTCGGTATGGCTTCCTATAGAAAGCTCGCGTGCCTGCTCCAGAGCCATCTCAGGGAGATATAAATATATCTATATTGCAAGTGCATGTCTAATTGCACAGCTAGCCTCCCTGTATACTGTGAGCCCAGAAATACTTAGTCTAATGAACTGTTTATAAGATAAACATATAAATGCAATTCGCATATGTGCAGGACAAAGAGAATGGTTTCTTTTAGATATACATCTGGGACTTCAAGATGAACGTAACTCAACAAGGCAGCTTTACGATTTATGAAAGCCACAGTCTCTACTACAGCGAGGCAAGGCGAAGAGACACACCCAATCATGAATAAAATGAATCATTTTCCAACAACCTTTCCTACCGGAGCGCCGGAAATTTAAGAGGGTAATTCACTGCGCTCAGCTGAAATGTATTAAGATCCATTACTTCTTTGTTTGAACTCCCAAATCTATAGTAGTATTGTCATCCATCATCATATTTTCACACCTTTTGAAATAGTGCATGTTTGGTCGTTATTAAATATTTTAGTAGACAAGCCTATAATACTGCGTTATAGGTTTTTCGAAGCAACATTGCGTTGTTGAAATGCTTCCAAACATTCGACAAAAAACATTGGTGCTATCTTTTATCTCTAACAAGATGTGCGTAGTGTAAGGTGTCGACATTCGTGCTCATCAGTGAATCTGTAATTTCAGTGTCGACCTACAGTGACTTTTACAACTTAGCATAGTTGATAAATTCTCAAATAGATGACTGTCTGTTTGTTTTTTGAATTTCGCGTAAAGCTACAAGAGGACTATCTGCGCTACCGTCCCTAATTTAGCAGTGAATAACTAGAGGGAATGAAGCTAGTAATCACCACCCACTGCCAACTCTTGGGCTACTCTTTTGTCAACAAATAGTGTGATTGACCGTCATGTTATAGCGCCCACAAAAGGGCGAGCAAGCTTCGTGGGAGGGGGATTTTGAACCCTCGATCCGTAAATTGCTAGTCGAGCGCCCTAACCACCTGGCCATGCCGGGGTCCAAATAGATGAATATCACACAGTTCCATCACAAAACGTAACGCTTACTAATAGATATACTGTACATGCGCAGTATTGGTGTCCATAAGGAAGTCTCATACATTGAAATAACGTGGACAATTTTCCCATAATTTATCTATTTAGGCTTGAGTTAATTAAATGGAACGTTCACAACATTAGTTTTAATTTTAAATGCATCGATTCATAAAATTGAAGTTATTTTAATATCATTTTTTCTTGTGAAGCGACTACGCAACTAATCCGATTATTACGGTCGTTTTAATGTTATCATGAGATCCCTAATGCAATATATATATATATATAGCCGAGGTCTTAAAAAGCACACAACGCAGAAATGATATTAAGAATGAGCTTTATAACATGTATACACAACTGCAATAGTACTGATAATACAAGTAACATGGAGAAAAACCCTACCAGAAAGAATTATGTTACTTAGTATGTTCTAGCTATATCTACTCCGACACCAGGGACCTACAAACGTAGAAAACCGATCTCAGTTATTACATTCGCTCAAGAGATGAAGGACGCTAAGTACCTTATAGTTTTTTATTGTTTTCTGTGTACAAAGTCTAATATGTTTAAGGTGACCATAAAGTCCACTGAAAAACAGGATCCATGAAAGTGTTCTATTTCAAGAGTAAATAAAACCCAAATTAAGAGTAACAAATATTTTTTTTTTGCTTTTGAAGTTCATGTCATGCTGTGTTGTAGCCTACACACAGTGCATCATTCTTCTCGTGATTCATGGCATGCGCACGTTTTACTGACGTCACGCCAGTAAATACTGCAACGTTAAGCGTCCCTTACGTGACGTCATTTTAGTGTCTACTGACTGACAGACAACACACTATTGTATAATGGTGCGAGTGGTTAAAACGGGTAACCCCTCCAGGAGGCCTTAGGCTCCCTTTCGGGGAAATTATCCTTCATCGTGATAATGGATTTTTTAAATTATCGATACTACTGATTTTGAATAATTAACAAGAAAACTGAACTAGTCATGTGTATTATGCAAAAGACGTTTGTACGCGCGCTCTTCCATACTGAAATTTCATCTGACTGGTGGTACAAAATTCTCTGACGTTTCTTAAAATTAAAAATTTCCTGACTTTTCCTTAACCTGTGGTAGCCCTGAATCAAGACATTGGTCAAATTTGTTTATTACTGTACTTTTCTCAAAACTGTATATTTCTGGCCACTTTTTTAAAACTCCCATCCACTATATCAGGTTGGATAGCCTTTGAGCTAGTTATGTATGTCTACTTATTTGTAGAAAATCTGTTCCCTCAGTTTTGATAGAGGTAAAAGAGTCAAGGGAGGATATAAACCTCATTACTACACCATTCCACATGTTGTTTTCATGAAGACAACCGCTCACCAATATTATTATATCTTCCTGTGAAGAGTTTCAGGCAAATTAGTGAGAAAAGTTCATGCTGAGTAACAATAATCATTTTTTAATACGTCAAGAAAAATAAACATGCTTTAATAAAATCGAAGTTATAGTGTTTCCGATCAAGAATTATGATAAACACATTTAAAACTTCACATTTTGTCCATAACCTATAACCTGACCATTACAAAGTTAATGGGGACAAGACATTTTGTTCTAGAATAATTCCAAAGAATTGGTGGTTACCATAAACTAGGATTCCTGATAGCCTATTGACAGACAGAGAGAGACACACCAAACAAATATTATAACGATCCCAACGTGTACTTCAGTAGCTTTCCAAACGCAGCAAAAATATCAAACAGCGTCGTTATATTGCTGTTATGAAGCGGTTTGTGGAAGTCTCATGTGTTACACACCCTTACAAAGGAAAGAGTTGAATCGAGATCAACAAAAAATAAAAATGGAGTTTAAGGTGTCTCAAGATCTGTACCCACTGCTGAGCTAGATCATGATAACAATGGGTAGGCCTAAATTTTCTTTTCTAGAAACATATTTTTGATGTAGTGATCTTTGTCAAAAGACGCATAATGACCGTTTCTGAAACTTAATTTGACAAATTTTCGCTAAAACTATGAAGCAAAATCAAAGAAAATACATTAAAAATATATATTCAGACTGTCTACTATGTAACAGTTAAAAAGAGTAGGTTTGAGTCATACCATTACATGTAAAAATGTTTATTTCATCTTATGAGTTTATGTTCAGTTAAATCTTATTTATAACCATACCAAACACAAATCCTTAAAAAACATGGTAAGAAAAAAATATACATGTTTATAAAACAAACTGTCAATTTACTGAAAAAGAACAAGTTATCAAGAAATTTTATATAAACTTAGTTTGAACTGACAATCTTTAAAGTTTTTTAAACAAATAAGCAGTAACTTATTCATCAAAAATACAACAGCTTGCACGAATCGAATCTGGATAAATTGACATTTTACTTTTACACCTTTTCTCTAGAGCAAGATGTAGCCATTAACTTCAGTGTAAACAAATAAAGAATTTTTGCTTGTTACCAAACATCTCAGTTTGTTTACAGAATCGTCTACCTGCTCTCCAATGGAAAGCCCACATTAACTAGAAAGTAGCGACATTGGAATTAAAAATAAAACAGCCTTTGCACCAATCTCACACATACTAATTCTTAACTATATGCAATGTAAAAATGGCGATCAAAATATACGAGCACAAAATTATATGCGTTTGTTGAATACTTTTTAACACGCCTGAAACATACCTTTAAAATGTGTGTTTGTTTGTAATAATGTCTGAATACAAATGTTTTAGGTGTACCCATAGGACACTACAAAAATATATTTATAGATGTGAATTTGTTTTCACTGTCTTTCTTCACTGCTAGACCCTCTATAGTATTTTGCAGAAGGTTCAGAGGATAGACAAAAATGCTGCTACAACGTTTCCATTGTCTTTCTTCACTGCTAGATCCGCTACAGTATTATGCAGAAAGTTCAGACGACAGACAGAAATGCTGCAAGTACATTTTCATTGTCTTTCTTCACTGCTAGAACCGCTACAATATTCTGTAAAAGGTTCAGACGACAGATAGAAATGCTGCTACTACGTTTTCATTGTCTTTCTTCACTGCTGGACCCTCTATAGTATTTTGCAGAAGGTTCAGAGGGTAGACAGAAATGTTGCTACTATGTTTTCACTGAATTTCTTCACTGCTTGATGTTGTACAGTTTTCTACAGAAGGTTCAGACGACAGACAGAAATGCTGCTACTACGTTTTCACTGTCTCATTTCACTGCTAGACCCTTTACAGTATCCTGCAGAAGGTTCAGAGGACAGGCAGAAATGTTGCTACTGTCCAGTTCTTGGTTTGTTTTCTTCGTGAATTCCCCAAAAGCGGTCCAAACCAGAAAATGTTGCCAAAATAAAGGACAAATCAAATCTTTTAACATTTGTTCTCCAATTGTAGTTTTTAATATGAAAAAGTTAGCAAAATATTTCATTTCGTTAAATATGTATACATTATGTGTTCAAGGCTGATAGTTACAACTTCTGTCTTTATTACACTTTTACTCAGGCGACGTGAGTTATTTTTGATAAGGTTTCTATAAGTATAATAAATTGATCCTTTTTAAGTCACCATGTAGGTGAAATACTTGTAGTTTTGTAACAAAAAATAAACTGCAGGTGACAATGATTGGCAAGTATAAATTGATCAGTTAAAAGCATAAAGTTGTCGTTTTTTAATAATAAATTAAGATTAGATTTGAATCTTATAAAATTTGGGTGACTTAAAATCACAAATCATAAACCTCAACTGTTGGACGATGTTTCGTCTTTCATTGAATATATTAACCGATACTCTTAAAGATAAAAATTTGTTTCTTGAAAACTCGTTATGTAAAGTTTAAAATCGTGTATGCCTAAATAAACATCTGCTATTACAAATAAAACACCAAAAGTTTACAGTCTCGCAACACGTTTTCTTCTTTTAGCATCTTTTTTTTGTGTGTGTGAAGAAGGGGAGGGGGTCACTGATTGTTTTCTCTTGGTCACTCGCCGTCTCTTTCACTTAATTGTGTGACTGTTTTAATCAAAAGGCTACAACGTTGGGATACGGGTAACTTAACGAGAACACACGTCAGCGTGATAAAGTGCGAGTAATAATTTAAATATTGCAACAGCAAACAGAAGTCCTATAATTACTTCTGTTGATTTTAATATCTAATTTTTTTGTAGATTAAAAGGTTGAAATAGCGTATGCCAATTAACGAGAGATTAATGTGAAAATATCGTTGAAAGCTGTTTTTATATAAAGTTCTGTAAAGCATATTCAAACTAATGAGCCGTTTAAATGAAAAGCCTTGCTTAAAAGAAATTAAGCGTACTGCAAACGTCTAAAGAACGTTTGCAAGCCACCCCTAATTTCGATTATTTAAAACAAGTTAACTATGAGGAAAAGAGAGGGGGGGAAGCCTAAAAATTCACTGCACATAGCATACTGTACCGAAACATGGGGAATATAATAATAATTTTAGCAACATCTTTATGATGAAACTCTGAAAGCATTACGGTTATGTACTTGATGTACTTTCATGCCACACAGTTTAAGCTGAATTTACTTAACGTGGTGAATTATTTTTGGTGTGAAATTTGAAAAAAAAAAATGAATAAATTTTTATACGACACAAAATCTTCTAGTGGCTTCCAAAAATAACAAAATCGTCTTAAGACATTATTTGGTCACAGAAAGCCGCCAATATACGTGTTTCAAATGAAACCATGTATAAATCAATATATTATCTGTTTCATCTGAAACCGTGTGATATATAACCTGGTTCCCCGGAAATCATGTGTAATATATGATCTGTTTCACCTGAATTCATATGTAATATATGATTTGTTTCACCTGAATTCATATATATGATCTGTTTCACCTGAAATCATGTGTAATATATGATCTGTTTCAACTGAAACCATGTGTAGTTATTAATGGTTCTTTGTTGTGGTTTGTAATGAGTTTATTACCTCATTCCTGGACGTTTTATGAACATTACAGCTGTAAACTATCATTGTCTGGCGTTTTTATTACATCTGTATGTTGAGAGATCACAATTCCAGAGATACGATAATCCAAATGTTTCTAAACAGTAAACCTTCCTTTTCGAAGGTGAGCCGAGAATGCTGAAGTCATATTTTAAACTTGGGAAATCATTTGATCATTTAATTGTATTTCACAGTACACTTTAATCGAGTAAATATTAAGGCAAATTCAGTTAGCATGCCTACATGAGAATCCGTGATGTTGAATCTGTCGACGATTCTCTCAAGATATAATTGCTTTGCCACGCTATCACTTGTATAGTGGAAGATTAATGAATATAATCACATGTAAAATTTAAAAGGTTCTAAATTTCCGATAGAAATTACGTACAACATGATTATGAGTTCTTGTGTTTATTTAGACAAATGTTAATATACAAATACAGCGAATAATAAACAAAACCAAAAAACTAATATTTTTTTTGTTTACTTCCTAAAGAATTTGAACAATTTACGTTGCAGTGATTTCTAAAAAATTAGGATATGTGAAACTTTTGTAAATTTAAAAATAAAAAAACAAAATACAGGTTTCACTCTCAATCAACTTTTTATGTATTAAACCAGTATTACCCCTCTTAAGCGCTTAAAAAATTTCTGCTTAACAATAATATATATATATATATATATATATATACACACACACACACAAACACACACATATATATAAACTACTAAATTGTGCCAACAGGTGGCGATACCCATCACGAAATGATTCAAAAATATGTTTACCACAACTTAATGGAAAACACACACACAGGCACATTATTTTTGACAGGATTGATAATTCTATTATATAATTTGATCAATGAGTTTCATAATCATGTTTCAGATATAAGAAATGGAACAATTATTGTTTTCAAGTTGAATTCTATCCTATCAACTTAATACACTTAAATAACTAGAAAAAAAATATTTATAACACCGTCCACTTACCTCATTGTTAAGACCAATAATCGGAGAGCTAGTTTCCCATCTACAAGCAATCTGTAAAGTCTCAGCTGTCTTCTGCTGAATACTTTTCTTGTCGTCTAATAAAGTAACTTCGTAGAATTCTTGAATATCTGGAATAATATTGAATTTAAAAGAAAATAGTATTAAATTATATACAAGTCTTACCTTTTACAACGTTGAAAAGTGTGAAAATATTTTATTTTTATTTTTTATGTATTTAATTATGCGTACATCTGTTTCTTGACTTAAAAGAATGCTCAAGGCATACGAATAAAATAGCGTGATGAGTTGTCTTGATGGACATCATGTGTTGAAGTTATTGAAACGCTATACTGCTTCTGCACTCTACAAGTTAAAATGCAACATTTCGGGTGTAATTCATTGCAACAACTTCAAGCATTGGTGAGCTAGCTCTCTGATGTCAGAATCAGTATAATAAGCAGAACATTTAACTGTTACGCTACTATAGCGATGTTTTTTGGCTAAACTGAAGATCTTAATAGCTTTTGAAAACCTGCGTTAAGTGTTTATAAAAGTCTCTTAGATTTTTTTATAAGAGATTCGAGACTATGATGAGCGATACGTAATATGCGTCAGCCATTTTATCCCTGCTCAACTCCACATACTAAGCACTACCGTGCTAAGTGATAACCTGAAGAAATATTGGCTTATCAAACGATATTCAATCGTTCCAGCGTTAGAAAAATAAAAATACACGTAGCATGATACGGATGCATTCAAATCCATTTATAGTTAGTTATTTTGATGTGTATAACACATGTCGACCTTGTATAACACGAAACTAGCTTGATATTTGGATACTAATCTGTTTATTTAGGTGATTATTTCACTCTTTGCCCAGAACTACACAGGTTTTTTTCTTTATTATTAAGCTGTACGTTCTATTTCAAAACGACGCAATATAGGTGAAATTTGCAAAGCCGAACTAGTATGGAGACAAAGGGTGAAGGATATGGCATCTTTCGGATTTGACATATTAATAAATTTTTACCTAATAGCATATTTTTTCCCTTCTTATCGTCATAAATTGTTTAAGGTTTAAAGGCTCAAAAATGGACCCCGAAGAAGTTTATAAATCCCAGATGTGTGTAGGTAGTGAGTAATTGATCTGCAGTCAGAGAGTATTGTTGAAGTTCGTTATAGCGTTTGTTTTAGCGCGAATGTTGAAATCAAGTGTATCGTAAAGTTATATTCAGAAAGAATAAACCAGTTTTATTAAGTAAGGACTTGTGTCGCTAAAGTTTCGTCGGAACGAAGTTACGGAAAGTTAATTAACAAACGGAGAAGTAACAGTATGTTGTGGAGGTTATGGTGTCCTACACCCAAGAATGTTTTCTAGAACTATCCTGTTCCTTCGGGAGTGCTCTAGCATTTGCTAGATTGGGGGTGGCTGGTATATATAAGATGGTCACGGCGTGACGTGCAATAAGGTGGCATGATACTAGTCACGTGCTCTCGCTGACACAACAATATAATGATTTGTAAAAAGAAAAGAAAAGAAAACACTGTAGATATTTTTAAAAGTATGGCTACTTACAGTTCACTTGGTGGATATTATTATGTAAAACACTTCAAAACTGGTTCTATAGAGCACTGGGAAAACTGAAAAATATTATGTTTCTTGATGGCTTTAATAAATATCGACAATAAATCGATAGTCTGCTTCGTAAGTGTTCCAGAAAAAATATTAACGATTCTAAAGAAATGTATATATATATATAAATTGCATTAAACTGTTACTGAATACAATAGTAAAATGGTCCTATATTATATTTTTGATTCTCGACGTATCCATCCATCTTTAAAACTCTTACATAGAGATACAAAGCGCAGGTTTGCCCTATGGTAGAGCTCTGAATTTCGAAAACTGGTGAACCGGTTTCGAATCTATTATGACACGCAATCT